CAAATAAATTCAGTTTTTCTTAAATATGAGCCAGCCTCAGAGAAGTTCAAATATAATTAGCCCTGGATCTGTTTATTCAACAATTATTTCCTTGAATCATTGCTTTGTGGAGGCTCTGTGCTAAGCTCAGACAGGGCTGGCTCATCTCTGTGGGACCTACGCAGTTGCACTTGGCTTAATGCTGTGAGTGCTTGTTTACATCAATATTCTAAAGTACATATTTATTAAAGTATACTGGAATGTATTTCCCAGATGTAAATTAGGCGTAATAACAAAAAGCTAATATTTATTAAGCCTTTAGTAGACAGGCACTGTACTAAGCATTTCATATACATTAACCATTTGAGATAAATTTTATTTTAACTTCCATTTCAGAGTTTCAGAAACTAAGGACCAAGTCAAACAACTTAATAAAATCTAGGCCTTTGATTTTAGCCAATATACTTACTAAAATATGATTTAATAGAAATCTTACATGTTTGAAGATATAAAGAGCAAGAGTGCTTTAGAACATCTACAGTTCAATTTGACCAGTCATATTTTTTAGTAGTTCATCCTAAAATTTTACTGTGAATACAGTTTAGGTTGTGAGTTGCTTTTTTTCTCTTTTAAATAAGTGTTTTCTGGCATTTCCTAAAGGTATGTTATCTTCATTCCTGAAAACATTCAAGTCAAAGAAATAACAATATCCTGTTTGCCCTTAAACTGGTAAAACTTCATGGTCAGCTTTTGGAAAAATGCCTGAGAGAGTCTGTGAATACAAGTGTAAAACAATCATGTTATCATAAAACAATTACAAAAATGTCTTCTGGTACGTCATCTGCACAGTTCCCTTTTCCTCCTATTTTCCCCACCATCTGCAGGGCTTTCTTTGGATACGTCCCCTTTCTCTGCCTCCTACCAACTTCACACGCCCTTCAATGTGCCCATGATTTGCTTATCTTGGGCCCCGCTAGAGCAACAAGACACACACTGCAACTTTTGAGCCCAAACTGGTTTAGATATGCTGTAGTTTTCGAACATGCTGTCACTAAGAAGCTAACAATACTCCTGCAGGACCCCAAGAGGCATAATGGCTACATCCAGTTTGACATGAGTCTGGATTCATTGGAGAGCAGGTCAAATGGGTGAGGCCTGGCAGCAGGAAGTTCTAGGGTAAATCTGATAAATATTATGAACACTGCCACTGCCTTATCCTAATACCATAGCTGTCCTGACTGATTTACTAGAATCCCTCTCAGCATGGGATTCAGACAACCACTACCAATGCATTGGAACGGATGTGCTAGGTGAGACGTATTGACCATCCTTACTCAGAGAAGGTGATCATGTTAAATAAAACTGGTACTAACAGTTTTCTTTTATGTGGTTCCAATGGGCCAGGAAGCTTACCAGGGACAGCCCCGGAAAGGGAGGGCCTGATAAGGAGCTGAATGTATCCAGGCCAAACGGAGGAACTGGAGTGAAAAGTTAGAAAACCTAAAGAAAATGAGACAATCCAATGGAAATTAGCATACCATGGTAACACTGTGGAAACAGTGATGCCCAGGGCAAAAGGATTAGGGCAGCAAAACTAACTTCAGACCTCACCTGCTAGTGAGTTTCAGCCTGCCAACAATCTGACAGCCAGAAGATTGTTGAATGACCAAAGCAAAGCCAGGCTAGTACAATGCAAGCACTAGTAGTAGGCCTTTCTTTATATTTCTCCCTTTTAAATTCATTCACAATCTGCATGGCTAATATCCAATTCCACTGTCCACCCTGGAATGTTAACCCTCAATCCAATTGCTATAGCTGCCTATTAATGGGTATTATATTAGCATCACAAATAAACCATGGAAAAATCCTGGTGCCTCAGCTCACCCCTAAAGCTATCTTTGAAACATAATATTGTGGGCAGTGATCCCATTTCAACCATAGAATGAAAACAAACACAGGACTTCAGCATCATCTGATTCTTCACTTTTCCACCAAAACAAAAAGAAGGCCAAAGGGGCTTTCCCTGAGAATTTTTGCCTCCAGGGACCCACTGGGGGAGTCGGCAGGAGACAGGCTGGGAGAAGCTTACTCGGGAGTAGCCAAGTGTGAAGAATTAGGGGGAATGCAGCCTGGCAGGGCGAAGAGACTATCCTGACAACATGGTTCCTAGTCTCAGCAACCCCCTCATGACTCCTCAGGTAAAGGAGACCCATTCTCCCAGGTGGTCTGTGCAGTGAATGTGCCAGGAAGATGTGCACACACTCAAACAGGCTGCTGGGCCATCCTGACATGACTTTGGTAGGAACCATGAGTCACTGAGCTCTCTGAGCTTCCCTTGTTAGAAGAGCAGACCCCACCTGACCCTCATCTGAACACTGATCTTGAGCAGGGCACCTCAGGTTTCCTACCTGAAAAACAAGGGGTGCAGGAAAAGGAAACCAATGGACTTTAAGGTTTTACAATAGGAAATGTCTGGTGAAGCAGTGCCTTTCTTCTGTGACACAGAAAAGCAAATAGAACTATTGGGTGTTCTCTTGACCTCAATTCAAAGGTGCAGGGCTTTCCCTGAGATAGTTTCTCTCCTGTATTCCCAGACCCATCCTCTCAGTGTCCTAACCCCTCCCTCACCGTCCATTCCAGGGCCTCGTGACAGGGCCAGCCAATCTCCCTCCAGCCAAACCCTTTCTCCAACCTCTCTGCCAGGCACAGTGGATGCTTCTGCGGAGGATACGAAGATCTAAGACCCAGGTGCTGCCCTCAGGAATCTCTTCTCTGATAATGGTTATAATACAAAATCACATACACACACACACACACACACACACACACACACACACACACACACATGCACGCTGCCATGTGAGTCAAAATGCCCTGGATTCTTTGGGGCTTCAAAGGATAGAATATTCACATCAGGTGCGGGAATCAGGAGAGGCTTCATAGAAGAAAGACATTTGAGCTGTGCCTTGCAAAATGAGCTGGATTTTGGCAGGCAGGAGGAAGAGCAAAGAGTAATAAAGGAAGGGAACCAGTGAGCACCTGGAGGAAGAAAATCTCAGAGTGTATGTCAACCAGGAAACACTCCAGTTTGGCCAAAATGGAAGGCCTGTCTTTATTTTCCAACCCTCCTATTTGGCCACATGAGCTCGTGTGCTCCATAAGACCAGGGGAACAGAATAGTTGGCATTGAACTGCTGATGTCCTGCATTGGTGTGCATAGAAAGGCACTGAACGCCAACCTAAGAAGTCTTCATCTAATTAATAATTTTAGCAACAGTTTCCGAAAACCGATTTTGGCTAACAGTGTTCCTGAAAAAGCTTGTTAGGAGCTCTGTGTCTATCCTCCAATGTTTTCACAAGTAGGCTTTTGGAAAAACATGCTCCACTCATTTTATAACCTAAACACGAAGCTAACTGGGGCCCCCAGGTCCACTGGTGGTGGTGACAGGGCAGCACTTGGGGAAAATATGCGAGCTGTCTCCACCCTTGAGGATGATGCTGGGACAGCGCTGAGACTGCAGATCTACACTGATTTTTCTCTCTAGGAAAACCAGGTAACGATTGGGGATATTTGCCCTAAGAACAGAGGGTAGAGCAGATCCAAGAACCTTCTAGGAAGTCAGGTCCAATGTCAGAGAAAGACTGGCTGATGGTTCCAGGGATGGAAGAAGTCTGTAGATACTGGCCAGAGTGTGAGACCAGGGGAGAGATGAAGAGGGTCAGGGGTTGAGGCCACGGCTCTGAAGCAGCCATGGCAGCAGAGGCCAAAGTAACTAACATATGCCAGGCTCCCTTCACCCCCTGCTCTTATTTCTCTTTAGACCTCTGACCTAGCCATCAGGCAAATGCACACGTTGTAAAAGGTGCATGTATAGTATAAAGTATGTTCCATGTGGGGGAAAAAAATGAGTTTCCCATTAGTAAAAAACTTTAGTTTCTTCTACTATTGAATCAGGATATTAAAATTACTTGCCCTTCCCCCCATCATGCTCCAAAAAAAATTGAAGGTTTAAAGAATAGTTTATAATGAAGTTGTAAAGATTTTGCAACTGACCTACATATTGATAATCCAAGAAACAATCAATATATAGCAAAGCTTCCCATGCCTATAACACTACCCTAGGCCTTTGGAAGAGATTCAAAATATACTTAATGCAAAATCAAATTTGAATACTTGATAGAAAAATATTCAGATTTAAACTGTAGTGAATTTCAAAGCACCTGGCCCTGGGAACTTTCTGAGAATGAAGAGACAACATTCTCCCCCTTCCCCCACCCCCCCCCAAAAAAAAAAATCTTTTCACTTAATCTACAAATATTAGTCAACAAATATTTATTGACTGTCACTATCACATTCAGTGATTGCCATTCCATTCCCACACTGATTGTCAGATATATGCAGACAGTTGGAAAGAATTAAATGTTAAAAGGTGCCCTTCTAGCATAAAGAAACATTGTCTGTTATTTCAGTCCTGTTCTTGAACTCTGCAAATTAATCCCCATATTACCAAAGAAGCTATTTTTAAGTCTTAAGTGTAAATTAAAAAATACATATCTGTGAGGTCACCAGATATTTGATCAGAAACAATACAAATAAATAACCTGCATTTTTTTTTCTACAACTCACATCCACCAAACATAAATTGGTTTCATTAATAGGCCCAATTTTTTTTTTCCATCCTTTTCACTAAGAAATATTTTAGAGAAAACTGGCAACTTTATATAAATGAGATGGAATATCTATTTGGAGATGGCATGAGGCCTTTTTTGATCAGTTGAAAGTCACTTAAATTTTTTTAACTTGTGATGAATCAGGAAATAAATATAATGCCAAAAAAATGGATTACTAATTTATTATAATTTCTCTAAGGTTAAGGAAACTTTGAGATTAGGTGTACACAGAATTGTAACTACTTCTTAAAACTATTTTTATTCTGTGATAGAGAAAAGTGTAAAAAGAAATGAATAAAACTTCCTTATTGCCACTAAGGAAGAAACAATACATTATAGAGGAGCCCTACCTTAAAGTAGCTTCAATGGGTAACTCAAAGGACTGAATCTCAGCCAGGACGTTCTCGTAGGTTTGATCTGAGTCTTCTTCCAACATTGCTCCACATGCCCCTGATTTTTCAGTTGCAGACATCAGATTTCAAGTGCAATACAGTTGTAATTTATAAAAGAAAGGTAGTTTTCCTTATAATTATCGTTTAAGGGTTCTCTGTTCAGCCAGAGTAGCTGCAAAACTGAGCTCCCTGTCTGACTTCATGCTATCAAAATCCCTGCTTCCAAGAATGTTGCACAGCTGTTGCTGTCCTGTCTCTACTTATAACATTTTACTTATTATTAACCTTGACACAGTTCAGAGAGTTCCTGCCTGATGCTTGCTATAATTACTCACTTGTTTTTCAAAGACAGTAACTACACACTTGGTAGGAATTAAAACCATTACACTATAAAGTTATTAAATGCAGTGGACTTGTTAAGGAACATATTTTAATACTAGAGGCCCAGTGCATGAAATTTGTGCACTGGGCGGGGGGGGGGGGAATCACTCATCCTGGCCTGTACCTTCTCGCAGTCCGGGAGCCCTCGGGGAGCCTAAGCCAGCAGTCGGACATCCTTAGCGCTGCTGCTGCTGCAGAGGTGGAAGAGGCTCCCAAAACCACTGCTGCACTTGCCAACCATGAGGCCGGCTTCTGGTTGAGCAGTGCTCCCCCTGTGGGAGCACACTGACCAGCAGGAGGCAGCTCCTGCATTGAGCATCTGCCCCCTGGTGGTCAGGTCCATCATAGCGACCAGTCGTTCCCCCATGTGGTCAATTTGCATATTAGCCTTCTATTATATAGGATCATTTATGCTACTTATATCATTAAAGCCATGCTCCCAGTTATTCCTGCAACTATACCATTGCCCACAAACCCACGCATAAGGCTTGTGTAGGAAAAATGTAGCATCCAATAGGATAAGATTTTGAGATCACTGGGCTACTTTCTTGGTTACCCATCTCCTTCGTTTCTCCACCCTTAATGTTTCTCCATTATAGAACCTTCCTTTCTTTGTCCCCTGTCCAAATGCAAATGCTCCTGGAAGCGGTTAGATTTTAGTAACCAATCCCTCACTTGTGAATGAGTTTGCCAGTCCTTACTGCAGACTAGGTTTTGATGGAGAGGGAGAAGGTTCCAGGATATAAAAGGAGACTGGTTGCTCCTGAGAGGAAGAAAGAGTGCAGGACGTAGAGATCTGGAATATCAAGGGAAAGTATGGCCTGCAGCCAGCTCTAAGTATACCTAAAAAATTAGCTGGGCACATATTTCCCATTGCCATTTGCCCTAGATCTTCCTCGGCTCTGAGTTTAACCTCATGGGGGCATTTAAAGAGATGAGTAGTGATATTCTTCCATATAAACCTGTGGGGTTTTTTTACAGTTTTTATAAGATTTTTAAATACTACTCTAAAAAAATGAAGTTCTTTCTCTTCAAAATGTACATTCATATAAGGCATATGTCATAAATTCCCTTCTCCCTGTATCAGACCCTTGCTAGTGCCTCACTGAGGCATCCTGCCTCTGTGTCCCCTGACTTTGGCCTTAGCCATGTGACTTCTGCTGCCCACTGATATATGAGCTCAAGTGACAGACGGTGAGCTCCAAGCTTAGGCTTTGTAAGGCTTCGCATATTTCTGTTTGTTCTCTTGCACCTCACCTAAGAAATCATGCCCTAGCTAACTTCACAGCTAGGAAGGAAGCAGAGTCATCCCTGCTGACCACAAAACTGCAGGGGGAAGCATATATGCAATCTAGCTGCAGCAGCCTAATGCAGAGCTGCCCACCAAGCCCAGGCTGGGTCAGCCATGCCCCCCAAATTCTACAGGCACAGGAGCAACAATAAGGGATTACTGTTTTCAGCCACAGAATGATGCAGCAAAAGCATACCAATTCAGCACAGTTCACGTAAACCCCACCAAGAGGCCCAGTTCTTAGCTCCAGCACTCCTCCAGTGCAGGGTGGAAGAAACACAACAGAAGTATGCCTAACACCATTTCCCCCAAGACGAAGCGATGATGCCCTCCTTTAAGACTTGACACAGCCGGCACCGGTTTGGCTCAGTGGATAGAGCGTTGGCTTGTGGACTGAAAGGTCCCGGGTTCGATTCCAGTCAAGGGCATGTACCTTGGTTGCGGGCACATCCCCAGTAGGGGGTGTGCAAGAGGCAGTTGGTCGATGACTCTCTCTCATCGACGTTTCTAGCTCTCTATCTCTCTCCCTTCCTCTCTGTAAAAAATCAATAAAATATATTTTTTTAAAAAAAGACTTGACACAAAACAGTGATTTTCTTCTATCTTGTGTTAAAGTCATGCACGTGCAAACTTTTAATTTATATCAAGTTATCAAATTATTTAAGAACAGAATGTCTATTGGGAATCCTACTTGTATTCCTCATAACACTTAACACATTACCCTATATACAGTGGGTGCTCAATAAATGTTTATTCGATGAATGAGTGAACGATTATGAAAGCTACACGTTAAGAGCTACCTCTTTGACTTGTGAGAAAATGTTGGTCCAAATTAGGCAAAAATCTGACAATTTCAGATTGAGTTTATCAGAATCTGAGAATACATAAATGCAAGATGACAAATTACTCTGCTCAGAAGAGAGCTTTGGTCTCATATGCTACATCATAGAGGGCAAACTCATAGGTAATACCATATACCCCTGAACACGTAATAGTGAGACCCAACCTTACATATCACATAGTTAAAAAGCAACAGATTCTTCTCCATACATACCCGATTTTTTTTAAAGAAGTATACTATTTTTAAAATATATTTTATTGATTTTTACAGAGAGGAAGGGAGAGAGAAACATCGATGAGAGAGAAACATTGATCAGCTGCCTCTTGCACACCTCCTACTGAGGATGTGCCCTCAACTAAGGTACATGCCCTTGACCAGAATCGAACGTGGGACCCTTTGAGTCCGCTGGTCAATGCTCCATCCACTGAGCCAAACTGGTTTTGGCCATACCCCAAATTTTTATTTTTTTTTTATTTTCAAACTTACAGAAGAGTTACAAGATGAATCCAACGCATAGCCACATACCAGCGGTTAAAAATCTGATTCACCAGTTGTTAAAAAAAAATTGCCACATTTACTTTTTTTCTCTCTCTCTCTGCTTATTCAAGAGAATTGTGTAAAGTAGTATATGCCTATAATAGTGAGAAATTTGCATTAATCCATATAGAGTATGTATAGAATAATATAACACTATACTAAAAAGTAGTATAATAAGCAGATCACCATAGCTTTGACTCCTTGTTCCTACAGGACCCTGTTCTTACGACACAGACCTTCATCCTTTCCGGGGACAGTAGTCCCACCAGGAGATTCAAGGCTCTCCAAGCTTGTGGCCTGACAGCCAGCCTCATTGCTCCTCAGCTCTCTCCACCCTTCCTCTACTCCTAAGCTTCTCTCCCTGTTCCTCCCACTTCTAGCAAGTGAATTTTCTCTCTGCCTCCTACTTTCTTCTGAGCCGCAGAAGACACAGGCAACAACTTCCCGATTCCACTGCCTAACCAGCATCTTCCTTTTATTCAAAACTTTCCTGGAGTGCCATTTCCTGCCGGAAGTCCACACAGATTGAACCAACAGGAGATGATCTCCTCCCGAAAGTAACATTTAAGAAAAACAACCTTTCCTATCCCGTAATGCTGACAACAAGCTCGCCCAAATAAGGAAAAGAAAAGGAGGAAATGGAAAATTTTTTTAAACAGCCATTATTCCAAGATGCCCATAAAAGTGAATGGGGTGTGTGTGTGTGTGATTAGAATGTTCCCTCTGTTCCTCCCAGCTGCAGCTCAAAATGATGGATTGCTTCCTAGAGCAAACCTGACCGCTGTCAGATGGTTAAGTGGCCCTAGGCCAGTGGTTCTTGTCCCTCCCCAGCCTCAGGGCAATGTCCAGGGACATTTTTTATTGCTACACCTGGAGGTGAGCGGTACTGACATCTAGTGGGCAGAAGAGGGAGGTGCTACTGAATGACCTACAATGCACAGCATAATTTCCCCCCTTCCTCCCCTCTCCTCTAGTTCCCTTCCCGCCCCCCTCCGCGATTATCCAGCCCCAAGTGCAAATAGTGCCAAGTTGGGAATTCCTGCCCTGACACAGACTCAGGCTATGTGTGGTATTGATAAGGCCCTGTTCCTGGGGCCTCTTTTCCCCTTCTGCATCGCTGAGTCTGTCTTACTACTCCGCTAGGAATCTTAGTCCCTGTAGAATTAGAAACCAATGTCTGTGTTTTTAAGTGTTATAGTTTCTTTGAGCCAAACTGATGACATATGTCGGGGAGCAAGATTTCAAATACGCCCCAGCTTCCTTTTTAAGTTTATTAATCGAATAAAACTCAGTCTTTTACCTTTCTCCCTCACCAAGACTAGAATCCCAGCCTCCTCACCCTGTACTGGAACCACATTGTGTGCATGTGTTTCCCTGGCACGTGTGCCCCCTCTGCTGTGTGAGGTTCCTAGGAGGCATAGAGCCTGAGGGCTAGGCAGGGGTGGCCAGAAGGTAGGAGGCGGGTACCAAAAGGAGGAGGCCCAACCTGACAATTATAAGTTGGTGTTCACTTATGGTCAGAGCCCTGGTACAGCCTGAGTTTCACCCGCCTCCCCCTATCTCATACCTTCCTGTGGGAGTAATTCTCTCATATTTGTAGGTAGTTCTCATATTTCTATGTGTTTCGACGTGTCACTAAAAAAAACAAACAAACAAAAAAAAAAAAAAAAAAAAAAAAAACGAGTAACCACGGAATAGAAGAGAATTTCCCAATATAATAAAGAAAATCTGCCCCTTCCCCCCCAAAAAAAACATGCTAACATCTCACTAGTTGAAAAAAATGTTATTGGCCTCCTCAGCTCAGGAAAGCAGCACTAACTCTATTTGAATTTGACTTGGAAGGCCTAGCCAAGGCAATAAGGCAAGATAAAGAAATAAAACATATGAAGATCAGTAAAAAAAAAAGTATTTTCAGATCAACAAACAGAATTAATGAGTGAATTTAGCAAGGTCTTTAGATGAAAAAATAAATAAATATAAGTCTATATATTAGT